GCGTAAGGGTCGGACGCCGCCGTAGCTGCATCTGGCCACCGCCAGACACTCCGCACCAAACAGCGCCACAGTGACTGCTACTACAGACGCCACCAATCCTACTGCTACCACCACCGCCGTCACCACTCCCACCGGTACGACAAAGGGAAGTCAGGGCGGGCAAGCTAGGAGGAGCTCGACCTCTACGGTAGTACGGAGTGAAGGCAGTAGCACGAGTAGCAACAGCAGCAGTAAGAGCAGCAGGGCGGCGCGCGGCCAGAGCAGGGCGGCGTGCAGCCAGAGCAGGGCGGCGCGCGACCACAGCAGAGAAGTAGCAGGCAACAGCATGTAGTAGCTCCTAGGGCAAAGGCACCTAGGGCCTTTTTATTATTATTATTTTATTTTTTTTTAGGGTTTAGCAGGGTGCTGGCGGAGGGCAGGGCGCTAGCGCAAGGTAGGGCGCGGGCGCAGGGCAGGGCAGGGCGCCAGCGCGCGCAGGGCAGGCCGTTGGCGCAAGGCAGGGCGCTGGCGTAGGCTGCATCAGTGCGTGACGCGAAGGGCAGCAGAGCGCGACGCGACTGGTTGCATCAGTGCGCGACGCGCATGCTGCAGCAGAGCGCGACGCGTGGGGCAGCAGCGCGCGACGCGCGGGCTGCCGTAGGGCGTGACGCGCAGGGCTGCAGCGCGGGCGTAGGGCAGGGGGCAGGCGCAGGGCAGTGCGCTGGCGCAGGGCAGGGCGCTGGCGCAGGGCAAGGCGCTAGCGCAGGGCAGGGCGCCAACGCAGGGCAGGGCGCCGGCGCAGGGCAGGGCGCTAACGTTGGGCAGGGCGCTGTCGCTGGGCAGGGCGCTGGCGCAGGGCAGGGCGCTGGTGCAGGGCAAGGCGCTGGCGCAGGGCAGAGCGCTTGCGCAGGGCAGGGCGCTGGCGCAGGGCAGGGCGCTTGCGCAGGGCAGGGCCCTGCGCCGGCGTAGGGCAGGGCACTGGCGCAGGGCAGGGCGCTGGCGCAGGGGAGGGCGCCGGCGCAGGGGGCGTAGGTCGGCGCACTTGATGATAATCACCACTGACACACAGGTGGGGGTTGCATGGCATGCTGAACAGACAGAACAGACAGACCACTCGTGCGTCCAGCAGTCAAAAAGCACATGGGGGGCACATGAGGCGACACGTGCAGCGGGGGCACGTAGGAGCAACGCACACGCACTGGGCCGCAGCTCGGCTCCTTTGTTGATGATCACCAAGGACGCGTTCCAAGCCAGCAGGCGCTTGATCCACCGCTTGTTGTACTTGCCGCCGCCCGGTAGGTCCGCGGACAGCAGGTTGTTGTGCACCACTCGGACGGTGAAGGTGCCGCTTGGATTCACGTCCGAGCAGAGGGTGTGGCCCTCGTCCGCACAGTCAGGCTCGCCGTCTCGCTCCCTGTGCGTGGGGTGTGCGGCGCACGGAGGGGTGTGAGCGTGGGCGGACAGCAGGTTGATTGTTCCACTGCTGCAGGCGCTTGATCCACCGCTTGTTGGTCTTGCCGCCCCCTGGCAGGGCGCTGGCGCAGAGCAAGGCGCCGGCGCCGGGAAGGATAGGGCGTGCGCGAGGCAGCGCGACGCGGGGCAAGGCAGGGCGTGCGCGGGGCAGCGCGACGCAGGGTAGTGGGGTAACGCGGTAACCGCAGTCAGAATCTAAGTATGGTGGGCCCGAAAGAAAAACGGTCCTACGGACCTACTGCTCAGAAACCATGTCAAGATAGCAAGCAGGAATGGTTGCATTGAATGAAATGTGGGTACAAGTACTAACCCTAACTTTGGGTTGTACCAAATATGGGCTACCCCACTATAGCCTACACAGAACTAACACATATATGTCCGAATATTATCTTATGTTCTAGCCTGTAGTGGGGTGCTCTATAGCGAGTACAACGCTTCTAGGGTTTGCTATTTGTATCCTCATTCTTGCTAGTTCAATCCTCTTTTCTTTCTTCTAATTTTGTCATGCTATCAGAGCAGGTCGATCCCCTTGGATCGATCCTGTGGGTGGGTTACCACCTCGCTTCCGCTGCTACTTTTTCCTCCCGCCGTGCGCCCCGAGGCGCGCGGCGGTTTTCTGCCCGCCGTGCGCCCCGAGGCGCGCGGCGGTTCTCTGCCCGCTGTGCGCCCCGAGGCGCGCGGCGGGCGTCTACCTCGCGGCGTTCGCTGCGTCCCGCTCTGGAGGCGTCGCGACGGGCGACGGGGACCCGTCGCGGCCCCGCCGCCCTACTCCAGTCGCGGCCCCGCCACCTTCGGTCGCGGCCCCGCCACAGACCCGTCGCGGCCCCGCCACCTCCGGTCGCGGCCCTGCCGCCTCGCGTCGCGGCCCAGCCGCCTTCGGTCGTGGCCCCGCCAACTCCGGTCGCGGCCCCGCCAACTCCGGTCGCGGCCCCGCCAATTCCGGTCGCGGCCCCGCCAATTCCGGTCGTGGCCCCGCCACCGACCCGTCGCGGCCCCGCCACCGGCCCGTCGCGGCCCCGCCGCCCCACTTCGCGCCCCCCCCCCCCCCCCCCCCCCCCCCCCCCCCCCCCCCCTCCTCCCCCACCCCATTTCCCGTCGCCCGTCGCGGCTCCTTCGGGGGCCGCTGTGGGGTGGCGGGTATGGGGGTGGCCGGTGTGCTTTCCTCCCTTTGCTCCTCCTCCTCCTTCGTCTCCCACTGCTGCAGCTGTCGCTGAGGGGGTGGTTGTGTGGGAGACTGGGGTTTAGGGTTTAAGGGGGGTGCGTGGGAGTGGAGCTAGCGGTGTAGCAGCGGGTGTGTATCAGGGGGGTGGGACTGTGTGCGGGAGGATGAGCGGAGGTTGCCAGTTTGTCGTCAGCAGCACCTGTAGTCCGGGGCGCTGTCCCGGTAGCCCAGTGAGCTAGACTTCTACGCCAGCCGCCCGTGGGTCCGTTGTCCGTCTGCCGCTACTTGAGCCGCGGGGCCTGTTACTCCTGTAGTCCGGGCGCTGTCCGGTAGCCGCTGTGCCAGTCTGCCTCCTGTTGCCCGTGTGTCTGCAGCTTCAGCCGTCGCCTCCTATCTCCTTTCCCCTCACTCTCTCTCCTCCTCACTTGCCCGTTGTGACTACCACTAGCTTTGCTCATAATTGTGAACTCTAAACTATTTCTTCTTGAACTTGTGCTCAGATTGTGTGGTGACATTGTGATCCACCCTGAGCTTGTACTGCTTTGCCTGCTCTGCTGATTACACCCCACTTTGGCTATGGGGGTGTGTCAGAATATTATCTTATTGTTCTAGCCTGTAGTGGGGTGCTCTATAGCGAGTACAACCCTTCTAGGGTTTGCTATTTGTATCCTCATTCTTGCTAGTTCAACCCTCTCTTTCTTCCTTCAAATTTTGTCAATATATAGTTTGATAGTGTGTCAAAACATGTATGCTTGTTTTCTAGGCTGTAGTGGGGTAGCCTGTATAAGGTACTACTCATTAGGGTTAGTACATGTACGGTACTCCTCATTGCTGTTAGTTCTCCCCTATACATTTGTCATCATGTTAACGGTAAAGGAATGCCCACCAACCAAGGATAGTGGGTGCACAAAGGCAATACATGAAATCACGGTGTCGTCAAATATGGTCTTTCTTGAAGCCGAGGTTTTTGCGATATCCATGGTTTGTTACGTGGCGGTGCTTCTTAATAAGAGGTAGTAAAAAAAGTTGGGAATCCTCAAACATCTAGCTCCACAGCGTGCATAACACCGCCCGTTAAAAACCAAACGTTAGCACACACAATTGCTCACTCGTACATTGCATTGAGTGCTACCCCAACCAAGGCTGCCTCGTTCAAAGGCGACTGGACCCTATGCTTCACGATCAAAATGCATTGATGCAGAATTACAATGCCATATATATGCCCTGATCGTCACTATTTTTTTGTGCCTTCACTCACACTGAATACATTTATATTTGAGTGCAATCCACTTTCACCATAGAAGGCAGTACACTAAATATAATGTGTTGATTTGTCTGTATAGCTCCAGAGTTGGTGGAGGCGGATACCATGAGAAGCAGCAAAAACACGTGGAGTGTGGCAACAACTCTGCTGTGCTGCCCCTTAACCACCGCTGTCACAAGGCTCTCCAAGCGGCGAATTCGACCATCACGATCAATTTCAGTGGGTGACTGGAGACGCCATCGACGGTAAGCATGTTCCCAGTTGGCAAGGGAGCTGACACCGTGCTCGTCGAAAAGCGCCTTTTGCCAACTCATCTTCTCCCAGCTCCAGCGGGGACAAGGCACACGAGTGACTTCTCCAGCCTGCGATGGATGAGCCAGCACAAGACGGGTCGCATGGGGTCGCGGCGCCGCAGGAAACATCTAAAACCGAGAACCAATGCTCGCACGGAAAGCCACGACTCCAAAACCAAGGGAACTGCCACGCGATAATTTTTTGTTCTCTGAGCAAACTTCTGTCATGCGTGAAGTAGAACAGGATTGTAGTTTCCGTCACCCTGAAACATGGTTGGTGCACGATCATGGTTGGGGAAGGGCTGTGATCATTTTTTAAAAATTCTTAACCGCTCTGCAGCACACTGTAACGTACTTAACCCATTTAAACCGCCTCAGCGTTCTGGCCTAAGAAAATGAACCAATGGCCGATGCCTGACCTATATTCCTCCTTGTGCGGGCAAGAACTCGTTTGCCTGCCCCCACGATTTTGTTTTTCCCCTTGAAGTTGGCTGGCAGGGGAGGTGGGCAATGGCTTCTCAGTCTGGTCGGGCCTGGACTGACCCTGCAGCAGCCAGCTGAGCAGCTCTCTCGAATTTCGATCACAGGCATCGCCCAACTTCGAGAATTGAGAACAAAAACCTGCCAATCCTCCTCAGTTCCTCGCAATCTGGTCGCCTTACGCAGACGCAGCTGGTCTTATCCCTCTCCGTGTGCGTTCCCTTTCTGGTCGAGGATCGCTCCACGCGCTCCAGGCCACGCTACTTAACGTCAGTCGCCTTCCTTACTCGCCTCTCACATCTCCCCAGCACTATTTCGCAAACCTCGCAGCACTATCTCGCGAACCGCCATGGCGTCTGCTCTTTCATCTTGCGCAGCGGCGCTTTCCAGCCTCCGCACCCGCATGCCAGCCTTGCTTAGCCCCGTGAAGCTCGCGCCTGCGCTTGTGGCGGCTCGAGTCGCCGTCCCGCTCCGTTCTGCCTCGTCTGCTGCTGGTGCCAGCCCCGTCAAGGTGAGGCAAATCCCACGGTCTGTCTTTTATTTAGTGACAAGTAAGACGAACTCCACGCAGTCGCTAGCCGCGAGGTAAAACTTACAGTTCAATCGACCCAGAGCAGCCTCAAGGTAGCTCTATACTGGAGAGGCCACTGAGATAGGATCTTGTGTGTTCACTTCTCGCTCCCTTCGTTCTTGTTTCCTCCTTTTTCCCGTGCTCCCCCCTCCCGCCGTCACAGGCTGCATCTGTCGCCCACGTGCGAGCCGCCAGCGGCGTGGCTGCCCCGGTCGAGGCACCGGCGGCGGCGGCGTCCGACGTGGCGCCGCTGATGCGCCCGTACCTCGCGGCGCTCCTGCGCAGCTACCTGGCGCGCAACCCCACGTCGCAGAAGGGCGTGCGGCTCGTGCAGGAAGCCGATGGCGGGCGCCCCGTCGTGCAGGACCACCTGGCCTTCCGCACCTTCGGGGTACGTTCACTGCACTTTCCAGGCACCTTCTGGAGCGACGGCGTGCCTTCACCATGGTACTAGCCTACTAGGCCGATTAGGCCGAGGTGTTGCATAACTGGAGAACGCTTGTGTTTCTTTATCTGTACAAAATCTGCGCTCATCCAACTTGTGTCCATCCACTACTCGTTACAGGTGGACGGCTGCGGTATCGAGTCACTCGCTAAGGTGTTCATGGACTTCGGCTACGTGCGTCGCGACACGCTCACGTTCCCGGCCAAGAAGCTCCGCGCCTTCTGGTTCGCGCCGCCCGAGCACTCGCTCGCCATCGACGAGACGGACGAGGGCGGCGTGGGGCTCAGGCAGCTGCCACGTGTCTTCATCTCGGAGCTCGAAGTGGAGAAGATGAGCTCCGCGGCGCAGGTGGGTGTGCGGGAACGCGCAAGTTTAGTGGAAGTGGGTTCGGGAGCTTTCTTCCCTTGTGCGTGACGTGAGCGGAAGTTGAGACAGTCAGAGTACCGAGGGAGCCTAGATAATGGGCCCGTTTTCAGAAGAGTCAACGCGTTGAAACGAGTGTCAGCGAGAGGAAGCACGGTGTGGCAAGAGGATGTCTCGTGTTCAAGGAGGGGAAGGGCGAGGTCTTTGATCCGCCTTGGCCAGGACAGCAATGCCCGAGCCGGGTGCAGCTGCATCATTCATCCATAGATGTCCCCGTTCTCCATTCCCATGTCCGTTGCCTCTAATGAGCAGCCCCCCCCACCTGTTCCCCAATCGTTCCTCATCGGCTTCCCCCCTGCGGCCTTTCCCCCCGTCCCCCTTCCCCCTTTCCCCGATATCGCGATGCGCCATCCGCGGCCGTCGCGCCCGTCCGCAGGAAGTGATCCGCAAGTACACGTCAACGTTTGATCCCCTCCCGGCGCAAGTGGCGGCCGTGTCAAGCGTGACGGGCGCGCTGCCGTGGGCCACGCCCACCTCCACCGACTACCAGACGCTCGCCGCGTACGTCACCTCCCGCCGCGCTCGCTGCTATTGCTGTCGCTCAGTCATTGGGGCGTGCCCACACCCTCTTCTCATTGCCAGCCGGTGTGAGAGCTCGTTGGAACGCTCCTCCTCTCCGTTCTCTTTCCCATCCCTTCTCCCTTCCCTTTCCCCGTTCCTCTTCTTCCTACCCTCGCCTTCTTCCTTCTCACCCTTCCTCCCCCCCTTTTTTTCCCCTCTTCCCCCCCGCGTGCGCTCCCGCGTCCTCCCTCTTCCTCGCGCGCGCGCGTCTCTCTCCCGGGCAGCGAGAGCGAGTACGCGGCGTGGACGCTGGTGAACGCGTATTCCCTGAACCACACAACGATAAGCGTGCACAGCACACAGCCGCACGTGTTCCAGCAGCCGGCCGGCGCGCCTGGCTTCGCCATTGACGCGCTCAACGACTTCCTGCAGCGCAAGGGACTCACGCTCAACTCTGATGGCAGCATTCTCAAGGGTACGGGGGAGGGGGAGGGGTGGAGGGAGAGGGGGTGGGGGAATAGGGGAGGGGCTGGTTGAGAGTGTGTGTGTCATGTGTGGACCTTGGTGACAGTGAGAGTAATCCTGTGTCTCGTCACTCTCCACCTTCTAACACTCGCTCACTCGCTTGCAACCCCAACCTTCTTTGGTCTCTCACCCCCTTCATCCTTTCCAATCCTCCTGCATCTTCCCGCCCCCCTTACCCCCTCCCCTTAACTACCCTGCACCGCTGCAGCCTCCCCTGATGGCATGCTGCTGCAGAGCAGTAGTGTGGCGGACACACGTCCATTCCACTTTGCCGATGGCGTGACTCTCTCTGTGCCGTCCAGCTACCTCGAGTTTGCCGAGCGCCTGGTGCTGCCAGAGCACAAGCACCTGCCCGCAGCAGAGGTCCAGGAGCAGCACCGGCGCGAGGGCTTTGAGGTTGGCAACGCGGATAAGATCTTTGAGAGCACCAGCTCGCACCAGCTGGCTGGGCGGCAGTAAATGCTTTGGTAGTCAGGTCAGGCAGTATTGAGGCATTGGTGGAGAAGCACTGTGGCAGAAATGGGGACCTGAGGCGAGGCTGCTGCGGTTCTGAAGTATTGGAGGGGCGACAGAGCTGGCAGTGCAGTATGTGAATGATTTGAGAGGATCATGCTGAGTGGAGGCTTCTGGTGATATCAAGGCGATGCGGTTGTATCTCTTTTAGTGGGTTGGGGGTGAGCGGTCTCTCGCTCCTCACTCCAATCCTTCCTTTCCTTTCTTGTACGTCCTCCTGTTTCTCTATCTCCGAAGCCCTTTTCTTGTGTTTACCCCCCTTTAAGCCTGCTGGAGTGTTTCATTCCGATTCTTCTCCCTTTAGACCTTCTGCTCCTGCATCTGTGTGTTCAAGCTCAGAGGCACATCTGATGCTGCTGCTGCTGCTTGAAGCCCGTCCAAAGCATGGCAAGAGGGTTGGCAGAGAGGTTGGAGGCGAAAGGCATGCAGTTGCAGATGGAATGTATTGGGTTGCTAGCTGCCTGTATAGTGGTGCCTTTTCTGGTGCTTATTCTGTGAACAATGGTTTGGGTGGCTGGATCCGAGGGGTCTAGCATGGTGGTGAGCTACTGTGTCTCCAAGAAATGTGGATCTGTGAAAGTGGTGCTGTTGCTGCTTGCATTTTGACCATGCTCTGCTTGTAATCTTTTGTATGTTTTGGACAAATAGTTGAGGAGGGGATAACAGTGCACTTCACGTACATTCAGATTTCAAACAACCTTTGAACAAGCTGCTCAATAAAACACGTGTCAGATTTATATGACATAGTTGTTGTAGGCTATAGTGGGGTAGCACATATGGGGTACCACTTTCTAGGGTTTGTACTTGTACCCAACTTTCCCTTAGTCAATTCATTCTCATTCATTTTCTCATGGTATCGAGCAGGTTCCCCTGTGGGAACTGTTCCTAGGGCCCACCACCCTTTTTTTTTTCGTGCCCTGAGCGCGCTCTACTCTGCCCGAGTCGCGCTCCCCTCTTTCGACCCTGTCGCGCCGCCTTAGCGGCCCCGTCGCGTCGCGCTTGCGGCCCCGTCGCGTCACCCTCGCGGCACCGTCACGTCGCGCCGCCCTAGCGACCGCGTCGCGCCGCCCTCGCGGCCCCGATCCGCCGCCCTCGAGACTCTGTCGCGTCGCGCCACCCTCGCGGCCCGTTCGCGCCGCCATCGCGGCCCTTTCGTGCCGCCCTCGCGGCCTCCTCAAGCCGCCCTCGCGACCCCCTTCCTAGCCGCCCTAGCGGCACCGTCGCCTACCCCTGCGGCCCCGGCGCCGCCCTTCCCGGCCCTGGCGCCGCCCTTCCTGGCCCCGGTGCCGACTCTGCTGGCCCCGTCGCCTACCCTGCTGGCCCCGTCGCCTACCCTGCTGGCCCCGTCGCCGACCCTGCGGCCCCGGCGCTACCCTGCGGGGCCCCAGCGCCGCCTCTGCTGGCCCCGTCGCCTACCCTGCGGCCCCGGCGCTACCCTGCGGGGCCCCGGCGCCGCCTCTACTGGCCCCGTCGCCTACCCTGCGGCCCCGGCGCCGCCTCTGCTGGCCCCGTCGCCTACCTTGCGGCCCCGGCGCCGCCTCTGCTGGCCCCGTCGCCTACCCTGCGGCCCCGGCGACGCCTCTGCTGGCCCCGTCGCCTACCCTGCGGCCCCGTCGCCTACCCTGCGGCCCCGGCGCTACCATTCCCGGCCCCGGCGCCGCCTCTACCGGCCCCGCCGCCATCCCCACGCGGCCCCGCCGTCACCACCGAGCCGCCGGCGCCGCCGAGCTACTGCCGAGTCGCCCAAGCCACCTGAGCCGCCAGAGCCGCCGCGCCACCTGAGCCGCCCGAGCCGCCGGATCGCCGAGCTGCCGAGCCGCCGTAACGCCGAGCCGCCGAGCTGCCAGAGCCGCCGAGTCGCCGAGCTGCATTTCCTGCCGAGCCGCCGAGCCGCCCGAGCCGCCCTGTCCCGTAAGAGCAGCGCCTCTATCACTGCACTGCCCTTACCCTACTGTTCGCGCTGCTAGTCTACTGCTGTCATGGCTACCCCTAATGTCCTCGCTTTTGACGCTGAGGGTCGGGCCATTGACTTTGACGTCTAGGTAGATGACCTGCAGCTTTTCTTACAGTGCGATAGGGCAAACGGTGTCTCTCCCTCTTTGACCTGCCCGCCGAGAGACTTCTGGTGCCTCTCCTGCCCCCGCTGCTAATGCTGACGCCACTGTTCGCTCACAGTGGGCCAAACGCGATGCTGCTGCATGTCTTGCTGTGCGTCGCCACCTGCCTACCTCTGAGCGTGCGCACTTTAGCCAGTAATAGAGTGCTCAAACCTTGTACGACGCTGTAGTTGCACGCTACTCCTCCCCTGCCACTGCTGCACTGAGCCGCCTCATGCTACCGTACCTCTTCCCTGACCTTGCTGCCTTTCCCACAATCACTGACCTCATTACGCACCTCCGCACTAGTGACACTCGCTACCGCGCTGCGCTTCCTGCTGATTTCTGCGCCAAGAACCCCCCCCCCATGTACATCACCCTCTACTACATAGTCATCCGGCTCCTTGACTCTCTCCGCGTAATCAGGGACCACTTCCTCTCAGTTTGCCCCACCACTCTCACCGTTGACCTCCTCGAGAAGGCCCTCCTAGCGGCAGAGAAGAGCATAGTCACTGTAGGAGCCTCTCGTGGTGACCCTCACACCCCCATCTTTGAGGGGTGTTACCCCTCCCCCCTATTGCCCTCTCTTGCCTCTGCTGCTGCGGCCGACCTCGTTGGTCTCGGGTCCGTCGGCGATGCGTCTGCCCCGAGCGGGAGACGCCGCACCGGCAAGGGCGAGGGGGGCAAGGGCGCTGGAGGGGCTGGCGGGGGCGGTGGAGGTGGCGGTGGCGGCAGTGGAGGGGGTGGGGGTGGTGGTTGGAGTGGTGGCGGGGGTGGAGGTGTCGGTGGTGGCGGTGGAGGCGGATGCGGATGCGGTGGAGGCGGATGCGGATGCGGCGGTGGCGGTGGGGGCGGAGGTGGCGGAGGTGGCGGCGGAGGAGGAGGCGGCAGCGGAGGAGGCCGAGCTGGTCGGGGTGGCGGTGCGCAGAGGGTCGGCTCCGGTGGTGGTCAGCGCTTGCAGCAGCAGCACACTCGTGAGATCCCCCCCCCTCAGCAGCTCTGTGAGTGGTACGCTACACGCCAGCGGGGTGGGGGTACTGGTCCGTGCACCTACGTCCTACGCACCAGCGACCGCGCGGGTGAGCAGTGCGGGGGTGCGCACTCCACCCAGCGCTGCTTTGACCGCCTGACGGACGCTTGGCGTCACCAGTTCCCTGAGGCCACTGAGATCCCTCGCTGGGGCGAGCTGTCTAGGGCGGGAGTAGCTGTCTTTGACCTTGACTTTGATGCTATTCTTGCTGCCATTTATACTGTGACTATTAGTGATGAGGGTGACTCTTACCGGTGTTTTCCGCCCGACCCGGGCATTGAGACTGCTGCTCTAGGTGCTGGTGAGGCTGCTGCTCTAGGTGCTAGCGAGGCTGCTGCTCTAGGTGCTAGTGCGTCTACTTCCTCAGGTGCTTGTGAGTCTGCTCTCTCAGGTACCGCGTCGGCTTCGGCCTCCCACACCTTCACCCTTGACTCGGGGGCTTCTCGCTCCTTCTTTCGAGACCGCACCACACTCACGCCGTTTGGTCGGCCAGTTGCAGTCTTTCTGGCAGACCCCTCAGGGGGTCCTGTCCTTGCTCACTTCTCCACTGTCCTCCCGTGTCCGGCGGCCCCCTCTGGCACCCTGTCAGGTCTTTACCTCCCCTCGTTCTCTACGAACTTGGTGAGTGGTGCTGACCTGCAGGATGCGGGGGTTCACCAGTTCACTCCTGCGAGTCACCGGGTGACCCACTACACGTGTGCTCGGAGAGGCCGACACCTGGCCACGTTTACACGTCGGCCGGGGTCGAGCCTGTACACACTGACCACTGAGTCTCCTCCTGTCCGTGCGTCTGGTCAGGTAGCTGCGTCAGGTCAGGTGTTTGCTGCAGCGTCCAGGTCTAGTCCTGAGTTTGCCCCCTGCTCGTGTCGCCTCCTGTCTCACGAGACTCTCCTTTGGCACCACCGTCTTGGTCAACCCTCCCTGCTTCGTCTCCGAGGCATGGCCTCCCGTGTCCTTGTCTCTAGTCTTCCCCGGTCCCTCCCTCCCCTTCCCCCGGGGCCTGCCCCTGCCTGCGTCCCCTGCGTCGAGGGGCGGCAGCGTGCTGCCCCTCACTCCTCCCAGTTTCCTCCGACAGAGGCCCCGCTGGAGACGCTTCACATGGACGTGTGGGGCCCAGCCCAAGTCCGTGGACAGGGTCACGAGCGCTACTTCCTACTGGTGGTTGACGACTACTCGCGTTACACCACAGTATTCCCCTTGCGCAACAAGGGTGATGTCACTGAGGTGTTGATCGACTGGATTCGCGCAGCTCGTCTCCAGCTCAGGCAGAGCTTCGGCTCGGACTTTCCTGTTCTGCGTCTGCACTCTTACAAAGGCGGAGAGTTCTCCTCTGGCCTTCTACGAGCCTACTGTCGTGCACGAGGCATCCGCCAGACCTTCACGCTTCGGGAATCTCCACAGCAAAATGGGATTGCTGAGCGCCGCATTGGCATGGTCATGGACGTCGCCCGTACGTCCATGATGCATGCGGCTGCCCCCCATTTTTTGTGGCCGTTTGCGGTTCGGTACGCGGCGCATCACATCAAACTTCAGCCCAGGGTCTCCATGCAGGAGACCTCCCCAGCTTTGGTGTGGACCGGGAAGGATGTTGATGCGTCTGCGTTCCGTGCTTGGGGATCTCGGGCGTTTGTCCGCGACTTGTCTGCGGACAAGCTGTCCCCTCGTGCTACTCCTTGTGTCTTCCTGGGCTTCCCCCCTGACGCGCCAGGGTGGCAGTTCTACCACCTCACCTCTCGACGTGTTCTGTCCTCCCAGGACTTCACGTTTGACGAGTCGGTCCCCTACTACCGCCTCTTCCCCTACCGCACTCCGTCCCTCCC